TCTGCCCATTGGTCTATGCCGTGCTCTCTCTATCTTCGGTAGTAGGTGTCTCGTCAGAATGTGGTTTTCCTGTAATTTGCGTCATACAATGACTTCCATCAACCGTACTAATATCTTCTTGTGAAGATTACGTTGTCCTCGGCAGTTTTGAAGCTGTAACTCTGGCGCTTTCGCAGGCTATTATGAGATGTAGAATACAAACTACTAAGCCCCCTTCTCTTCTTTAGCACTTCTGACAAATGCAAGTTTTGTTCGTGAAGATTGGCGGCGAATTCTAATGACATTATAATTCCACATCAATTTTAAATTTACCCTGACCGAATATAAGATTAAAGCCTAAACTTTTACAGAGAATTTGAGAGCAAATAACATATTCGATTTGAGGCATTCTACATGTTCCAGTGGTTTACCATGAAGGCTTATATTTCACTCGTGCGACCAACTTTACACGCCATCTATTGATTTTGGCCAATCACAAGTCTCATAAGTCAACGGCCAATGAAATTCGTCCTCCAAATCTTGAGGACCTCAGAACACGATTAGCAACGGCAAATCACAGACGTTCTCTCCCCGATTTTTTTGGAGGGGTGAGAAACGGATGTACACAGGCTACACAAAAGAGAGCACGAGAAAATGTCGTTATAACAATAGAATTGAAAATTTGCATTTTCCCCGAGTTGAGATTATCCCTGTATTGCCATAAGACCTAAGGTATGAGCAGGGTTAGCCTCAACTCGGGGAAAATTCTTAGCGCTCTATTGTATTAACAACATTTTCTCGTGCTTTCTTTTGTCTTTGGTAAGATCTTTGCGTCATAGAATCTGCTGTCAAGTAAAACAGCGGTTATTCGCTTTGAATTCGAAACTGGAGTATTTGATGGATCTAACTACGAAGTACAGTTGACATGGAAACCAAACATGCAGATTTGACAAACAACTACCAGCAAGTCTTGAAACGACTAGAAGGAGTTGAAAGAAAACTGCATCGTKATCCTGTGAAAGCATATTCATATTCATATTGCATATTCAGATTCAATCAATCAGTACGTCGAAAAGGGGTTTGCAGAAGAAGTGCCTGACAAAGAAAGAAACCGCAAGAACATCASATACCTACCACACCATGTAGTATTTCGTGATGATAAGACTACAACTAAATGAAGGATCGTCTTCGATGCCTGAGCAAAGGATGAACAAGATGTGTCTCTCAACGACTCCATTYTGCCTGGCCCCGCCCTACAACCAAATCTAGCGTCAGTTCTCATATGCTTCTGTACACAGATCGGTCTACTTGCGGACGTTGAAAATATTTTTCTGCAAATTAAAGTCGCAAAGCCCGACCAAGATGTACATCATTATTTATGGAGAAACTTGAACTCGGATAAAGAACCTCGCATATACAGAATGAAGAGACTGACATTTGGACTTAATTGTAGCCCATTTCTCKCAATTGCAATCCATGCACACGTTACTGGTTATCTTGACACATGCCCGAGAGATGCAAGAGAACTYTTAGCGCAACATGTATGTGGATGACTGTTTGACAGGAGCAGAAACAGATGAATCTGCCCTAGAATTGAAGAATGAACTGACAACTATAATGAAGGCTGCAGGATTTAACCTAACGAAATGGGCAAGTAACTCGCAACAAGTGTTGGACAGCACACAATCTGAACAGAAGGAATCGTCGTCCATCGTCAATCTCACAGCGCAAGCGGAATCAACGAAAGCACTTGGTGTCTCATGGGACTTGAAGTCAGATTGCTTTAGATTTGTGCCGCCACAAGAAGTAACTACGTCTAGTGTTTCACCTACAAAACGAACTGTGCTCCGTCACGCTGCTAGAGTGTTCGATTCATTAGGATTGATAACTCCGTTCACTGTAAGGGTTAAGTTATTATTCCAGGAACTCTGGCGTAGAGGTCTAGATTGGGACGATCGATTAGAAGACGACATTCAAATAGAATGGTCTGCATGGCAATCAGAGCTKTCAAAGATATCTAACGTCACCATTCCTCGCTGCTTTGGAGAAGGATTGGCGCGAGACTCAGAAGTTGAAGTACACGGCTTTAGAGATGCATCAYCTAAGGCTTACGGAGCTGCTGTGTACATTCGCATCACAAATGAAAGTGAAAACATCACTACACAGCTTGTAATGTCTAAATCAAGAGTAGCACCGGTAMAAACAGTATCATTACCTCAATTGGAGCTACTAGCCGCAGTAGTRAATGCAAGATTAGTGACATACGTCGCAGAAACACTGTAAGTAAATTCAAATCGGATTGTATGCTACACCGATAGCATGGTCNAAAATTATCAAAACTACAAGTGCTACCGGCATTACTATAAGTACTCGAGCTTATTGGATGATATTGGATGTCAGAAAAATAATTTGTAGCATAAGCAAAGGTATCATATGCACATTGGTCATTTATTTGGGGAGTATAGGTTAAATTTGGATCAAATGCCGTCTCATGGGGCACTCCGTATTCGTGAGACTCGACTAGTTTCCCTGTTGTTGGGGACGAGTTGAAACTTGTTGTTGCGGAGGACGAGGATAATACTTTTGAGGTGGAGGAGGGGGGTTGTATTACCCATAAATGTAATACCCACCATAAATGTAATAAAAATCAACCATAAATGTAATAACAACCATAAATGTAATGACGATCAACCATAAATGTAATAATCGACCCCACCATAAATGTAATAACTTTTAACCATAAATGTAATATTCGAGACCAACCATAAATGTAATACCGTTTTATAGCATTTAACCATAAAAGTAATAATCAGTTACTAAACATTTCCCTTGGCTGCTGGTATTCCTCTACCTCAACGAGATAATAGTAGCATTTGTCACATGACAGTATGACGTCATAAGAGATGCGTTTTAGGAATAGGAGACACATTTTTGATAATATTTAGTGGCTTTTTGATTATTTTCCTTCCTTTCTTTTCTATATGAAATGTTACATGTGTATACAAACACTAGAGCCTTTCTTTTGTCCATTGAAGATAAGGTGGAGCTAAACAAACCAATAAGAAAGATTCCATTTCTGTACCGCTTGTAATGTAGTTATATTGTATCTCTTCACTCAAGTATGTTAAAGCCTCGTGTTCATTGTAAGAAAAGATACTTTTCAGTGTTTTGAACCAAAACCCAATGAAAAATTAGTGAAACTTTGAGGGTTTATAGACAATCATAAAAGAAATATTTACAACTAGAGTTCTATTTATGGAATATGGATTGCTTCCCAAAGGTGATTTCAAATCTGATTGGAAAACCTGCCTTTGACTCGTACTTTAGGAGATATTCCGTTATAGGTCACATGACAAGATGTTATCCAAATATCTTCTTAAAGATAATATACATTCCAATTTTCCAATCGGCAATTTGTTTCTGTTCGTCAAGCAATGATATTTACGTGCATAGCATTTGCAATTGTTTAAAATTCGCGGCCGCATTTGAATTTTTCTATTTTCCTTTTTAACGTCATAGACCAGGTGATTTTTTATTAAACAGCAAAAAAATGCTAAAAGCTGCTAAACTAGCTAAATATGTGAATATGAAGAAAATTGGATGAATAAATTTATATTTTAAGATGAAAATGTTTCCAAGTTCACAAAAATAAAGTGAGGGTCAAACCCATGCCTTAACATAGTTGGCCAGTTTTGGGCAGTGATAGCAAAACAAAAATCGCTGTATTCTATTACTAGCATACAGTGAGTGAAAAAAGCAATCGGTTAGGGCCTGGGCTKTAAAAACAAGTTACYTTGTTYGAACAGCGTTGAAACRCATGCACTTTTCTGTATTATTATATTTCCTTAAACTAAGAACAGCAACTTTCTAAAACTGTAACAGCAATTTACCCAACGAATTTTAGGCATACCATGGAAACTATCAAAAGTCACCAAACTTGTCGATCTAAGTCCAGAAAAAWAGTCRTTTTCTCYAGAAAATATCAGTTATCCTGAACCAACCATACTCTAGATCTTCCAGACGTAGCCATGCGTTTACCCAACTGGATCCAGAGACAATTTTCCTCAAGCTGAGAATCAGACCACTGGAACGTCCAAATTWCTTTAAAAGACCGCGTACACTGACGATAGMACTTGCAATCCCACCTGGCATGTAGATGCATGGTAATATGTTTTTGCATCTCTCAGTTGTAATGCGTCTGAACCGAGAATKAACAGCACGCAACCTACGGTAAACAAGGCACGCGGATCCAGGAAAATCAAGGTATGCAAGCTGGACGGTAAAACAACAAATTTTCTCCAGAATTTCGTTTGGGATTTTTTCAAAGCTAGAGAGCACCTCCGATGGGTTTGCTGTGATGACGTTTTCCACTCGTTCATCCGGAACAAATTCAATTTCCGCTTGKCCAGCATCACTTCCTTCACTCTCTGTATTTACACCACAACCTCCAGACTCCGTATTCACATAACAATCTATATTCTCACCATGTATATCCCCCAAATACACACCACCATCTCCACCCTCCGTATTCACAWCTCCATCTCCATCCTCCATATTTRCACCACCATCTTCACTCTGAGTATTCACACCACCATCTATATCCACCAGATTCACATATTCATCTCCATCCTCCGTATCCACAACTCCATCTCCATCCTCCGCATCCACAACTCCATCTCCATCCTCCGTATCCACAGCTCCATCTTCACTTTCAGTATTCTCAACACCATCTATATCCTCCACATTCATATCATCATCTCCACTGTTCATAACATATTCTGACATTTCTCCGCCATTCATTTGTTGAAGGCAAACATAATGTGTACCTTCAGTTTCAGCAAAGTGTCCGAGCGTGAACTGCGNCATCTGTCACCCAGAGAACAGTCCAAGCTAGTAAGATTAGTGGGTCGCAGATGTATTGTAAAATGCTTTCTTTCCGAAATTTCAACTGAGGCGTTATGGGATACGGGGGCGCAAGTATCACTTGTATCTAGTGCGTGGCTATCTAGTAACTTGCCAACTATTTCAATTCGGGGGATTGAGGAACTTTTGGGGGTAAATGAACTTGACCTCAAAACAGCCAATGGCGCTAGTCTTCCCTACAGTGGGTGGGTAGAGATAAGCTTTACTTTACACGGTGGGAGGCCAGAAAACGTCATCAGTGTTCCTTTCCTGGTTACAAGTAGTCCACTTGATTCACCAATAGTGGGCTACAATGTCATCGAGGAAATCTGTAGACATGGCACAACTTCCAGTAGCGGCGATGTGATTTCGATGTTAAGTGCAAGCATGACGGATGCTAAGGTAGAGAACATCGAAGCATTGGTCAAATTTGTACAGAAAGGGCGTCCGGAAGCACTGTGTACTATCAAGACCGGCAGACAGGATATTGTTATCGCACGCGGACAGTCAGCGCGTATTTCATGCTACGCCAGGGTGGGTCACAATCACAAGCGGGTTCCAGTCCTTTTTGAAGCGTGCCCGATACGCGGTTGGCATGATGGGTTGGATATACCGGAAACGCAATTAACAGTGATTAAACCGTCATCTAACCGAGTGAGTGTAGAAATAAACAACCTATCAAATCACAACATCACATTGAAGGGGAAGACGCTGTTAGGACAACTTCAATTAGTGAGTTCTGTCACGCCACTTGAAGTTCAGCTTGTCGGCCAATCATCGGATACTGACAATAACTCACACACTGTGAACAGTGTAAAAACATCGATTAATGATTTAGGTGAYGATRATTGCCCAAATACCCCGGTYTCMGTTACTGATAAGGAAGCACTTGCAAACACGATTAATTTAGACAGTCTAAATGCTGAACAACAGGAACTTGCTCGCAAAATGCTAGTTGAAGAAATTGATTCTTTCTCGGCTAACGACGATGATATCGGTTGCGCAGAGGAATTACAAATGTCAATTACGCTAACAGATTCGGTACCGGTTCAACAGAGCTACCTCGCAGTCCCAAAACCATTGTACCCGGAAGTGAAACAATACGTGGAGGACATGCTCAATAAGGGGTGGACAAAGCAATCTCGCTCATCTTATTCATCCCCGGTCGTTTGTGTTAGAAAAAAAGACGGAAGTCTCAGATTATGCGTTGATTTTCGTAAGTTAAACCAAAAGACCATCCCCGACCGCCACCCATTGCCTCGCGTCCAGACAGTTCTTGAAAACCTGGGAGGGAACTCTTGGTTCTCACTATTGGACCAAGGTAAAGCGTATCACCAGGGGTTCATCCACC